TTCGAGGCAACCACTGGTGAAACGGGTGGCTGGGGGAAGTTTTGTGTGGCTGTGATCCAGCAGGGTCAGGAAAGCAGTGTCTCTCATCACCCTGGCAAGGGAGGTGCTGGCCTTCATGTAGGAGCAGTGTCCCCTCGTTAAAAAAGGCTGCCCTAAGGCTAAGAGCAAAATGCTTTGCCTCCCAGTTTCTGTGACTGAAGCTGAAACTCCTCTATGTCCACGTTGGTAAAATCAACTGAAGTGAAGGTACCTGCACCTACAGAAGGAGCTTCAATCACTGTAAGCCAAGCCCTGCCTCCTTCACCTCATCCCGTCCTGTTTCTTCAGCTGTCTGTTGCAAAAGCAAATCTGTTAAGTCTTGCCACGAGCTTGGGGGCAAAATTGAGACATAAAAGAATCTGTATTTTCTGTAAGTCTTGAACCTAGCTTAGCTTTCCTTGGAGCTCCCTGCCCTCTTGCTGCTCTTCAGGCCCCTCTGCCCTGGAGGAGGGTCGTGGAGAAAAGGAACCTGATGCGGAACAGAGATGTAGAGACCAAGCCGAGGGGTTAACCTCTGCAGGAGGACATCTGCAGCGGGTCCCATGGGGCATGTTGTGTGTGCAAGGCTGCCTGACAGAGCCTGCGAAGGTCAGAGGGATGCTGCTTCCTGCGGAAAGGCCTGTGGGCCAGGTCGTGGGGAGAACCTGTGCAGGAAGCTTTGAGTAGCCAAGCCATAGTAGCAGAATAAGTGTGAGATGTTAATCCCTAAGTTTCCTTAAAAAGCAAATAACATTTAGAAATGGGATTTTCCTGGTCCTGGTGTTCGGTGTCAAGATTAGATGTCTATAGGAAAAAGGGACGTGTGAGGGTAGCAGTAAAAGTCTCTGCAGACGACAGATTTGCTTCTAGGTAGGACATGGAGTCAGAAGTCCCTTAAAGTTGGCTTATGCCTCAGGATTAGGGGGGAAAAAATATAGGATGGGAATTGCTAACTCTGGTTTCCATTAGAAGTTACTGCCAGAGGATGACCATTGCCCAGCGGTGCCCTGGAGGAATGTGGGGGTCATTCCAGTGCTGCTTCAGCCTGTCTTGTGCAACCATCTCACCCCAAAAGCACCACAGTTGTTGGAAGTATTTTTAATTTGAACTTCATTAGTCCAGCAAAGCAGTGGGGGCGAAGTGCTCGCTCTGCATGGGGCAGGTTTGGGGGGGATCTGTGAGCAGTGAATCCCTGTAGAGGTAGTAATGGGATCGGGCTCCTTGCAGGCAAAGGTGAAACATTTTTCTTTAATGGCAAGCAAAAGTATCTGGCCTGGCAGAGGTGGGTTAAACCCCACCAAGTGGAAATTCAAGTGTGCTGCCCTCATGTCCCGTGCCTCGCCGGAGAGAGCAGAGTCTGGCTGCCTCCCTGTAGCCTCAGTAGATGCCAAAGACCGGGAGATCGCTGCTAGGTAAATTAACAAACTGATAAGCCTGTGGGGAGGCTGGGGAAAGGGCAGATGTGTTAGTGCCTGGGCACCTGCTGCTGTGTCTTGACCTCCCTATGGTCCCCCGTCAGAGCCCAGGCCAACACGAGGGAGGTGTTGCTGCCCGCGCGGTCAGACAGGCAGGGTTTGGGGAGGGGGTAGTGGGCCGGGCAGTG